GACTTAAGTTGAGCATTTCGCGTGCTACTAAATATTCATCAATTTGCCGATTATATTATAAAGCAAACCAAATTGTTCTTTTTATATTTTAATTTCCAAATGAGTGATCAATTTTCACCATGAGAAGATGCAGTTGAAATGGGCGGAACTAAACCTGGTTATTTCAGTTGCTGATTGTAAGCTGATTTTTTAATTTAAAATGCAAATAATTGAAGTTCTTTGGACGTTTTTTATTACGTTTTCAATTTGTATTTTTGTAAGCATTTTTTGCATTATTTTGGAAAACATTTGCTTATTCTCGTTCATTTGACTCTGTAGTATAATGTTAGTTTATTTAAATGATCAAATAAATCTGGTTTTAAATATAGTTGTTCAGTAAATTTGATAATTTATAGTTTTTATTATATCAAAAAAATGTATTCATGCTGCTACAACCGGGGTTAGATTTGAAATATGTACAATGACAGTTTAAATGCTCAAATTTAAGGAAATAGATTTTTTATTTTTCCATAGGTGTTTACTTGATGTTCCTCTTGAAGAGACAAAAGTTATGTATTTTTTATGTTTCTTTATTTTCCTGCTCCCCTTTGAAATAGCAATAAATAATTTTTTTTAAATTAGCCCTTTTTGAACCGCTTTTATTTGTTTTTATGTTTTCATCTGCCATTTATATTTTTTATTAATTCCAAAACTTGTTTTTCTCATTAATTTGCCTATTTATTTAAAACCACAAAATTATTAAGCAACTAGTAACTTTGATTATATTTTTTGTAGTAATTTTAGAAATTTCCATTTTTTGTTTTGTTTCAGGTTTGTTCATTATCTCATTATCTCTTTCACGCTATTTTCAAGGCCCAATGTGATGCTCACATCTACTGGTTTTAGTAATTTTTTCTTCTAGGAATCTAAAGTGTTTAGAATGAAATCAGTACATTAAGTAAAAAGTTACAATGAAACCCAATGCACAAAGGGAGAATATCGCACCAATCGCAGTCTGTCTTGATCGAGAATTAAGTAATTTAATGCAAAAATCACAATATTATAATCAATTAACAATGTAAAAACAATAGAGTAAGAGAATATGACGCTGAAGACAATACCGGATTTTCCATAAAAGAATACGTTTTTTTTTCATTCAACGGTCAAACCATTCATTCCATTGACTACTGCATTTTCTCATGCTTTTTTTCATTATTTTTCCTTTTTCATTCCGCTACATTTCACCATCAAACTTGCCATCCATTATTTCTTCCGAATCATGTTTTCGTTTCCTTAACAAATTCTCTATGGGTTCAAGTAAAAATTAGCAGTCAATTAGTCAGTGGAATTTCGACCCAGATTGTCTTCAAGAAGTGTTACAATTATCTGTTCGCAATGAAGCTTGTGGCAGTTAATCCACGTCCGTTGGGCCTCTTCTCTCTTCCTACCTCAGCCCTCGATGGCAGACAGCTTGGCACCATTAGGCCACGATGGTTCTAGGAAACCGATGAAGGGAACCACCGATATACCATCTGGTGATGGGCGGTACCCTGTATTATATTGCATTATGCGGCCGCTTAGATCTTCGTAGGTAGAAAGATCGCGTATGTTATTACATCTTTTGTACTGTTGGATTCTTTAACTTTCTGCTTTCTTTACATTGTTTGACACTCGAGGCGGTAATATTTGACTTTGTGGCGATATTCGAAGTTTTCTCTTTTGTTGTTATTGTTGTTAGTACTGGAGTACCGTTGTTATTACGTTCATCTATTCTTAACAGCTTTTGTTTGGCTCCATAATAGACGTTCTGTGTGAAAGGTGCTCATGAACATGAATTGAATAGAATGGAAATATGTACATATATTCAGTTGAAAATAATTTACTGAAGCAGTAGATCAAGTTAATAATATTCCGTTAGTCATCTTTTTTAATTGGGGGCTAGAGTGTTTCAACTATCCGCTGGTCTTGGGCTTATTATTCAAAGTCAACTTTAATTCGAAAATTAAAAACGTTCTAGTCGATTATAGGCAAAGAGCTAAGTCTGAAGCGATTTGGGCCCAGGTATGTTTGACTATATAAGTCATTTTAGGTCATCTGAAACCAGTTGGTGTTCCCATCTTCTCGAAGATGCAGAGACACCGGTTTCACGATATATGAGCTTTTCATTTTACGCCGTCCAATACCAATAAGTGGTATCATTTTGGTATCTCACTTTTCAACACACACTCGCTTCGCGCTCGATTGCAAGATTATCGGCTTAATACGAACAAAAAAACGACTAAGAAATTATATTTTTAATTAAAGTTTTGACATTCTATCGGATAGGACTTTTTACATAAATCATTGCTTGATGTTCGCTTTGTTTTGCGAAAGGCCGCCCGAAGAATAAAAGAAAGATGAAAGCACGAAGAGTTTCTTTCCGACGGCCTCGATGGGCGTGAGATTCTTTATTCTTGATTGGGATAAAACGATGTTACAAGTTTAGGTCCTCTTCATTGCGCCATGGTGGGAAAACGATCAGTTTAATCAAATACATATACTGAAGAGGATTTCTACCAAATGAAGTAATGTCCTGACGCTTATAGATCCTCAACTACGATGTAGTGATTTTTCTCTAAAAGACACTGTTTAATCTGGGTTCTCGATTATGCGAATATCTAGTCTTTTTTGTCAGAAAAATGGGATGTTTTTCGTTTATTGGATAGGCGTTATTGTTGCATAGCATATCATTGAGTCGGTTGACTCCTCCGCATCCAAAGTGGCCAAAAGAGCTCTCGGTGGTCTCGACCAGGTGCGCATTCCGCTATTTAAAACAGGTGGGCAAGACGGCGGCCATTGTGGCTAACACCTGTGCCGTGTCACACGGATTATCTACCTGCTAAACGTTCCCAGGATCGGATCCAAATCCAACTAAAAAAGCTCCAAAATGAGCCATAAAAAACACATTTTATCAGAAAAATTATCTTTTAACTCTTCCTTGGTCCAGTTCAACACTTTATTAGGCATGCATTCTAACTGTTCCTCTTTATTTCATTAATTTCTTCTGGACTTGTTGCTTTCGAGTCGCTTCTGAAACTTGAAGCGATTTAATTTGTTTAATTGTCATTGGAAATGTATGCCTTTGATCCGTAGGAAACGGCTATAAGACTTTTATAAACAAAGCGACGACCATTGTTTATCGACGAATTGACGACCTAAAATTTTCATTGTGAAACAGATGGAAATTGCCTCTGAAACGATTATTTTCTCATTGAAATCACTATCGGCGTTATAGAAAAATGTCTAGAAGAGTGCACTTAACATTTTCTGGCAATCCACAAGTGAGGTCATGGTTTGCATCATTTCAAAGAGCTTTTTTTTAAACGTCTCTGAAGAATTTGAGATCCTTTTGCTTACAATACAACACCAAACAAAAATGGTAACAACCCAAGTTTTTAAGAACTTAATGATTGCAAAACAGTCCAAACGGCTTTTACTTATTGGTTGTCTGCTGAAGAAATATAGACCTGTGTGAGATAATGAGTGTAATGTGTGAGATAATGAGTAGTTACACTTTTAATGCAAAGTGTAAGAAAAATGAGGATCTGTTAAGTGAAATAATTGAAGTACTTTACTCCATACCATCACTTGGATAGGCAGCGTACTATGACTATAAATCATAGGCTGCGATTGAAGACAATCAAAAATAACATTAAACGATCATTGGCAGGCTTAATTTAGTCATAAAAATAAATCAACTTAATTTAATTTTGCTAATTGCCCACTTGCGTTTCTTACAAAGATGTTTATTCGCGTATACATTGCATGTCGTGGTATTCCTGTGTTTGTTATGTAAGGAATGTTTTACCATGCAGAATTGAAGCTTTTGTTGGCTTGTTACATTTCTTCTTATTAGAAATTTAGGCAACAAAAATTTGACAAAAATTTTCAATGAGAAATTTTTCATTATTATCATGCTATTGTCTTTTGCTTTTTGCTAATAATAATGTTTTCCGATTTTTTATATAGTATTGTCTAAAATCTTGAATTCAACTTATCATGTTTGATTGTTTTTAAAAGGATTTTTTATTTTTTCTTGCTCTTCCGTGTATTATGTAATCTTGCATAAGCGGGGTTTTTTAGTTCTTTTCATAAATATTTAACATTTCCGTCTCTGGTGTTGCTGCAGATTAACTAATGATAAACACAACATAAAAAATGTATTTTAATGCTAAATCAGAATTTGTGAATCTGTGCACATTTGCAACTGTGCTAAACCGATTTTCTATCGAAACTTTCGGTAATAAGAGATTGTTTTGTTGTTTTAATTAACTATTTAAAAAATGTGCCTTAGGCCACTTTAATTCTGAACGCCTTAATTAATCTTCATCTTTCACATACCAGTTTCTGCATGCATTCTACATTTAAGTGAGCTAAAAGTAATTGATTGGAGGACATGAATCTCGATAGGTGTAAATGTATAACGACGATAATCAGATTGCACTTGATCTAAAAATGGCAGTATTAATGCCATTGATAGGGATTAAGAAAGTCAGTTTTTTTAATGCCAGTACGATCCTGTTAAGATTGTCGAAGTTCCAGATAGTTCCAACAATCCAATCTGAAGAGATTCAGATGCCCGCCCCCGCTCTTTTCTGTATTATTTCGAACTGGCCCTTTTTTATTTCTTAATCTTGATCCCGCGGTTTTTAATTATAGTGCAGAACAAATTATAACTGCTTTTATACCTCGAGCCTTTGAATAGATTCAAATTCCTGCAGTCGTTGGCTTGAACTCACGTGCAATACAAAATTATATTTCTAGACTTAACTTCTGTCTTTATCAACTATGTGTACAACGTCTACAAGTGGTCAATATAAGGGCCCAGCAATTGGAAGATCAATATTTTTTCAAAAGCTTGTTAAAAAACGGGTTTTGCGGCTTTTGAATCAAAATCAAGTCTAAAAATTGGGCTGCAGTTTTCCTTACTTACGAACTTTGAACACATTTCCTATAACGTTTTTCTTTCAAATGTATTTTAGACGAGCGATTGCAATCCGAAAGCGTGCCAGAAAACCGATAATCAAAAAGTGGTCTGTGGGTCGGATGGACTCAGCTATCCGAATCGGTGCCAGTTGGAACGGGTGCGCTGCCAAAACAAGCATGTAACTTTAGTGAAAAGAGGCCCCTGCAGAAAACAGCGCACTTGCTTCGAATGGCAGGACTTTAGCCTCGATTTTCCTCAATACAAATTCAAAGCCAAGTAAGTTGTTTTATATCATGTTTTAAAGAGAACCTATAATTACAAAGGGTGTAAGTGGGTGTGAATAATTATCTTATTTTCAACAACTTTGTAAACTATTTTCAAATGCTATTTAGAATTCCATACAAAACACAGCTTCTTGTTTCAGATGCAAAAATAATGGAGCATACGAACCAGGACAATGCCATCCTGAAAGCAACTATTGCTGGTGTGTCACTCCACAAGGAATCCCATTGCCTGATACTGTTAAAGAGAGGAACTCGAAGCCGGGAAGCAAACCTATAAGGTAACACCAAAGTGCCATTTTTTTTCAACTTGAAGCCAATCAGTTTTGTTGCAGATGTGGCGGTGGAAGTCGAAAAAAAATTCCTCGTTCCCCAAGTCGCCGTACCAAGAATCGATCATGCAAACAACCGGAAAAGGCGCTGTTAAATAACAATCTAATGAACACGTTCCATTCGGAATATGTACGTGAATTTGGGCGAAATAATAGCGACGATGATACGGTGATTAAGTGGAGGTTCGCCGGTTTGGACACCAATCATGATTCATATTTGGAGAAGAAAGAGTATCGCGACTTGAAGCGGTTGGTAGCTAAAGCGATCAGGCCGAAGAAGTGTGCAAAGACTTTTCCCAAGAGCTGCGATGTTAATAACGATGCGTTGCTTTCGTTCCAGGAATGGAAAGGATGTCTAGCTAGAGATGGCCATACAGGTAAATAAAATAATAATTTCTTGGCTTTTTGGTTGCTGGAACTAGTAGATATATGCTGTAGGTTTTGTTAACAACTACCCAGGTCGATAACATCATCATTAAATGATTTAAGCGAACCGGAAGAAATCGTTAATTTAATTCATTTTATTAGAGAAGCCCATTTACACCTACCTACTGGTATGATGTAAATAGTTAAATTCTTGGCGAACCCTCTTGACTTGGTTCAATTAAGACTCGCCAACGAACTCAATTTACTAAGTTGCCATCGCAAACATTGAACGTTTCCACTGTTTGCCTTGCGGTTTAAACGATGTTAGAAGCATTTCGGTAATCAAATTAGTTTGCATAGTCTGAGATTGCATTTTTATCGATAGTTAAGTAAGTGAAAAAAGTTGTTAGTTAGCAGCTTTGAGATGCACGTACTGGCAGTTACACTAGAATATCTTTCCGGGTGTAAATGCATATTGCAAAATGCAAATGCAATCTCTGATTTAAAAAAACTTAAACTGTCATAAAAAATCAGAAAAAAACTATCAAAATGGGTTAAAGCAGGATGTCGTGTTGCTTTAATGTTATGCATTTGCGTTAAGCAGAATAATTTTGAGGAGGTTTTAAAACTGTTAATTTTGATAATTAAGGAAAAGTGGCAAATAAAAATAACGCGTATGTATTTTTCTGAACCTTACTTATCTGTTGTTAGAAGAAAAAACTCAACTTAAAAATCACCGTAAATACCAGGCATATTTTATTTAATGCATGTTGTTATCGGCTATTTTTTTAAGCTTGCTTAGATTTCTGCTATACAAAGAGTCAATTTTGTAATCAAATTCCAATCAGCAATTGATGGACAGTGATATATTGAGTGAAAACACAAGGTGAAAAGCAAAAACAAGGATGAATCCTTGCTAAAACATCTAATAAAAAACTGTAACCATTTCCTTAGTATCTTTAAATAACTGATTTTTTGTTCTACTAATTTTACTTTCATGTGATCTTTTAATTTTTCTAAGCTTAAGTTTTTCCACTGCTGAGAATAGTAGCCTAAAATTAAATCGATAACCAGCATCAATATTATCCCCTAATGTTATTTCATTTTTAGAGAAACCATTTTCTTGTAAAACAATTGTCTCCTTTGTTTCTCCTTTTTTCATTGGTGTTTCACTGCCGTAGTTGCTTTTGATCTTCGTTTTTGCTTCGTAACTTTGCTGGTATCAAATGAACTTTTGCTTTAATTTATAATTACATAATTAATTTAAACAGAAAATCCAACTTCTYTTATCTTAAGCTACAGCATGGATTCAATGAAGAAGCTTCTTTTGAGAACATGTAGCAAATTTTTTCAAAACACTATCTTCTATATTCACTTTCCCATACTTTTAGCGAAAATATTCTCACGTAGAAATAGAAATAATTTCGTTCTCTTTACTCTACTATGCACGCATATTGATTTTTTTGAATTTCTGTCGCAAAATTCGCTAAAACTATGGGTATTATTTTTAGTTTGATTGCTCTTGCTTAGCTGTAGTTCAATAAATGTTAGTAGAGGGTAGTTCGTTTAGCAAAGAACGTACGGCCCGCGTACTTTGTTTTGAACTTAAATAGTTCTTTCGCGTCTTCTTTTCACGCTGAAAACAGATAGCCCTCCCCATGACAACAATGAAGATAATGATCGAGATGATGGAGAAAGAGATTATTCTGATACGTTTGATTCAATGCCTTCGTCACACTATGGAGGTAAGAAATTTTGAAAATCTAAGTTCAAGTCAACATTAATTGGAATGCTTTAAACTACCTCAGCAATTTAAAATTCTTTTATTTCGTCCATGTGAGATTAAAAAAGTCGCAAATAATCCCGATTCCACTTGTTGCAACCTTTGCCTCTTATTTTCCCTTTTTGGAACTAATTTGAGAAAGATGTTACTTTTAGCTTTAAATACAGGATTGCCGCTAGGGCCAAGTTCAGGCACTAACTACGACGACGAGCTAATTGATACTAGAGAGGAAGAAAGTCCAAATTGTTTGAGCGATAGAAAGTCCGCGATTGAAGATGGTTCAATATCTGGCCATGTGCATAATGCAACCTATATACCAGAATGTACATCTGACGGACGCTATAAAAAGGTATTATGCAACATTATTTTTTCAGGACCATGAAGTTGCACTCGTGAAAAAGGTTTGTCTTCTAACATTTTTTTTCTCAAATTTTAGGTTCAATGTTACGAATCTGTGGGCTATTGTTGGTGCGTAAACGAAGATAATGGTCAAACCGTCGCTGGTACGGCAGTTAAAGGAAATAATCCTAATTGCGATGTTTTAAAACCGATGCCAAAGCCCATGAAAGGCTGCCCAGATGATAAAAAACTGATTTTTCTTCAGGAACTTATGCAATTTTTGCGCACTAAAATGAGCGAAAGTGCCACTCCAAACAATCCTGCAGGCTCTTTAGGTAAGGCGAACTACAGAAGAGACATTTTCTTTGAATCATTGAAGGTAAAACCGGTTACTTGGCCTTTCAGCGTTAATCCAATCGAAAGAAGAGGAGGCGTTTTGGAGTTTCAATTTTTTGGATAAAAATCACAACCGAGTGCTGGAAAGATCTGAGTGGAAGGCTTTCAAAGATATGGTAGGCGCTGTTAAGACTATGAGGAAATGTGGCAAAAAACTGCCCAGATACTGTGATAGTAACAAGGACAAAGAGATTAGCACAACTGAATGGCTGGACTGCCTTAACGTTCACGGTACGTTCAATTATGAAGAATTTCCACAGCAGAAAATAATCTTTTTCGGTGAATTGCAGGCATAATTTCAGCACAACAAAACGTAGCAAAGCCATCGTCGCGATTTGGAAAAACAAACCCATTAAGCTTGCTACAGGATGACTGATGATTTTCTGAGTGAATCCTGCTTTTTAGATTTAGGCTGAAAAAATGAAACCTTAGTAAGCACTAAAATGTGAAGTGTATATAGTGTTGACAAACCGCCGATAAAGAGAACGTTTGCAAGCTTGTGACGATCGAAATGTATATAAGATGTTGTAAATATATTTTTTATTTGATTTCATTCAGGCCATGTGTATCAAGACAGGAATTAAACCTTAAATAGACTGGTTTTATTGCTACCGATGTGATTATAGCTTGTAGGTATTCAGATGATTTAGTTTAGCCCTGTATCAATCATCAATTCATCCGTTGACTCTCAAATTGCAAGCGGAAATATATAGAATGAAATAGCCAAAAGCGTAACATTGAGAATGTTGCCGAATTAGTTAGTTGATCCTAAATTTTAGAGCGACAAATGTTTGAGTGAAGCTCATTTTAGGTTTCTACTAAACTGCTTTTGATGTGGTAGTTTAAAAATAGTTTTATTTTTTATGCTTAGGAATTTAATCTATGTGACTTTGCCTAAACAGGTTTATCTTAAAGCGAACTGATCATCGCAATCCAACATGGATTGATGTTCATACGTTTCGCTCGTTTTTTCAGTATTAGTTCACTTGCTCTATTGAAACAATTATTATTAAAATAATAATTTTAACATTAATCTGTATTGTTTTCATTTCATTTTCCTTGCCACTTTACTTTGCATTTTTCCTATCAGCTAACTATGAAAGTATTTTATTTAAGTTTATATTATTATCTAGATTATGAGCAATGTTAGATACAATTTGTACATTTTATGTATATTTGATTATTATATTGTGGAGTAAAGAAATATCATTGTTACTTATGTCTGTGTGAAATTAAGGCGCAATTTTTCATTATTTTTTTTGCAATGTGATGCTTTACAATAACATGTACTTCAAGAAACAAGTGTTTTAGTTATCCCGTAAATCATATCCCGTTTAGTCATTTTTCAGTTTCTTTTTCGCACCTAGCCGCCTCCTAATTAAATACAGTTACGTTGGAAAAAATTTACAAATAGAATACTGAATAAATTCGTTTATTACAGATGAAGTCGAGAACATTCATTTCTGTTGAGGATAAAATGATGAAATCACCCATTAAGTAACAAGAAATTGGCGAAAGCTACAAAAACAAGTTAATTGCCTAGTGTATCAAACGGGTCAGAAAAACAGCGTACAAGTGATAAAAGGGATTAACATAAGTTGGTGCCCTATAATAAGACATTTAAGTGAAATGAGATACAAATAGTAGCCTATCAACTATTCAGCCAAACCGTGTAGTTATAGAATTGGAACTTGGCGAAGAACCTGAGAATCACGTTTTTATTTCTGCTGAGCTCCAGTCAACCAACCAGTTGTAAAAGAAAAAATCCGGTAAGTTCTTTGTGATTTTTTAATTAATTTTTATATTGATAGGAGCGCTTCTAAATCGAAAGTTGCAAAATACGTTCTTGCCTTGCAACTGCCCACCTGAAATTTTATAGTAAAAAAGCCAATATGAAACCAGTCTTATTTTTATTTAAAAACAGCAATGAATATAATGCTAAGTAACATTAATACAAAGAAACCGAAGAAATGTTTATTTAACTTAAAACCTCAAACATGAAGGGATACGAGAAAAACTCAAAGTAATGTAAGGTTTTTGTATTGAATGATCCTAACCTAAACGGTATTACGAACAAATTCTACTTACAAATACAATGTTAACAGCTAAATATTAAATTCTAATTTTATTTATATATGTATAGTTTAAACTTCTCTAAACCGAGTGATTTCCTCGAAGAACACCTCGAGAAATGTATGTTTTTAACAGAATAAGCTGCCTCAAAATGAAAAAAAAGAAGAGATTCCGAACCATTTACCACCCAAAGGAAAACAGATTCTGGAAACTGTTTCAGAATCTGTTTTCTCAATATAATTATATTAACAAATATTCGTTTCGACATCCAGCAGAATGCAAATTTGCACTTTTCTGGAATCTCATAAAAAATTAAGCAATATCCGATGAAAAAAAACTGATTGCAGCTTTCCCCGCGAAACATTATATAGACAATTACATTGCACTGATCCAGACAACGGAACTGAATATCTTAAAACTACAAATTTACATCTAGGCAGTCGTGTGTTGCTTCAGGTGCTCGAATTGGCGACCTTCCCTCGTATATATGGCACAATAATCTCTGTTTTGTTTTGGGATGGCCGCCACAACTAATTAGAGCACCCTAAGCCAGTTTTTTCCAGAATATTTGTTGATACAGGATGGAAATATCTGAAAAACAAAGTATTTGACAATGCCTTCATGGCGCGAACTTGGTAGTTATTAATAACCAAATTGAAATATACAATTTGTAATAATTCCAACCTGTTGTATATTCTTGGGTCTTTCTCAGCACGCAACTATCTGAGAGATGTTGAAGAAGTGTTTTACAGATTTCAAAAAGTTTACTCGTATGTCATTAAATGTTCGTTTATATTATATAGTTTAAAAAAAGCATGTCAAGCATCTGATCGAGATTTCACTCTCGATTTAATAATCTTTAAATTGGAACTTGGAAATGTATTAGTTTCTTTGCAAAACCTGAAAAACGCTCCCACATTAACGAAATTGAGGGTTGAGAGGGAAAACGTTTGTATAAGCCGAATGCCTATTAAACACTCCCTCTCAAATGCTTTGCAAAGGTTTTTTCTAAATATACCAAAACGAAACTAGGATCCTATACAATAAATGCAAAAAACCTGAGGGAAGCCAAAACAATAATAGTTAGATTATTCAATAGTATAAAATATCACATGTTTCATTTCATTTAGGAAAAATTATATTAATAATGGCTTCGAATGGAAAATAATTAAAACTACTATGACGAAGAAAATGGTTTCACCTCGTGAAAGTCCACTAGGTTTGCAAAAAGTGCATTCTGAAAACAAACAACATTCCATTAACTTTGCTGTATATTTTTATGACAACGGTCGTAATTAGTATATGGCAAAGTTAACTGAAAACATTCTGCAATGAAATATTGCAATTTGATCCGGAAAGATAAAAACGGGATCCACCCTGAGCGCAAAACAAAGAGCATTCTTGGCGCATCCAAAAATAACAAATAAAATTTATAAATGGTCAAAAAATACAATCGTATTATTATCTTATATAACATTTTAGCTATGTACAATAATTACATAATGTGTTTGTTTATGAAACAATTGCAAGGAAATTAGCTCGTTTACTAATCAGATTGAATCTGAATAATTTAATCCAAACAAGTTAGTTAATTTCCTTTGTATTTTGCGTGTCCACTTTGAAATATTCGTTCACTTGTTCACCAAAGCGAAAGAAACAGAATTGATGCGTTTCAATCTGATTCGATAAATGGGGATTTTGATAGTTATCGAAGATGTTACAGAATTTTTTTAATTTTATTGAATTCTAGTATCATTTATATCATCTAAATTTCAATGTGAATGAGATCATAAATTGAAGAGTATAACTTCTAAAGGATCTAAGTGCCATATATTCAAAAATCTATATTTTGCTTGAAAACGGTCGTAAGTGCCAACCCCAATGCATCTGAAACGGGTCTATATACTTGTCTATTTTGTCCGATAAAAAAATTAAACTTAATAAAAAATTTATATCACTGGTTTTATTAATATTTTAAAGCGTTTTTGTTGATTTCTCAACTTTAGGATTTTGGCACTCAGACCCTTTACCCATACTCTTCAATTGTGTCAACACTAAATAATTAAGTAAATATCGAATAAATTCAATATCTTCTTAACTTGTGATCTCATTGTATGGAATAAAAACAAGTTTGTGCTTTTCAACGTGTCAACTCCCATTTAGCAAATCAGGGCCAAAAGATTTCGTCAAACTTACCTGATAAGGTATGTGGCACAAGGAACAATTGAACTATTGCAACGTTCCATCTATACCAACTTAATTGAGGATTAGATGTTTGAGGTAGACTGAAATTCTGCTTCAGTATTTTTTATTCAACGATTTTTAGTAAAACGGTTAGACTTTGAGTTCATAACAAATTCATAAATTTGTAACGAACCACATACTAAAACCATTTTGCATTTGCCTATATAAAAAATCAACCCCTTCGGTACCGCCAATGAAATAAATCATTATTTTGAATTTATCCTCAATCAAGTTCTATAGTTAGGGAAAAGTTAAGTACAGCACGCCACAATTAACAGCGCAAGAAAGACAAATATAACTTCTCACTGTTTCTATTTGTCATCCTTATCGATATAATTATAAATCGTAGAGCTAAATTTAATATAGCTAAGTAGCAAATAATAATTATAAATGGGATTTGGCAAATGACATTTATGTTACATAGTAAAAAAGTTGTACTGCCAACTGTATTGTAGATGACTCTGTTAGTCCAGTGATGAGATCGATAGCCACTAGAACACACGCTGGTCGTCTGAGTGAAGACTACTAGCGTAAAATGAATCACAGGCGGCTCGTAAGGAAAAGGCGCGAGCCATCTACACAAAGGCTACGTAACACTGATTATAGACCTTGACGTCTCTTTACCGTTGCTATCCGAGGACTCATTTCGAACACACTGACTAGTGAGCTGATTTATACTGAGGGGATTGTTAATGTCATGTGGATTGGTGCCAACGGGATTTCGGGGCGATGGATGCCGAAGTTGAGAGGGCGGTAATTTGACGTCGAAACTATCATGAGGCGTAAGAGGACTTTGCAACATATACGGACTGGCGACACTGACTGAAGGACTGGCAGCGCTGGTTGATGGGCTGGGCATTACCATCCCTCCGGGACTCGTGAGGCTACTCAAGGCGCTCAACCCTCCCGGACTGGACATGGATTGGCCGATGCTCTCATTGTCGTCGTCGGGAGGAGTGTTTGCGTCGCCCATACTGCCGCAGCTTCCTAGATTGTCGTCCGAGTGGTTTCCGTCGTTACTCTCCCCTGATTCCATGTATCGTATACATTTCTTCTTGCGTCTGGAATACACAGAAGTCATTAGAATTTTGCAAACATCGATCACGAGCCGGAATGATTTGATGATGTGCCTCAGAACGAGCACCGATCAATGCTGGCACAAAACCATTCCAAATTATAACTAGGAAATTAGATGTGAAAACAAAAAACACTTCCATGCTAGTTAAAGAGCATGCACTGCTCAGGTTCACAGAACTGCGTGTATTTTAGCGAGTGTCTTTCATCAAACGCCTGGACCATGCTGTATAAATCATTGTAAAAAATCAAAAGCGACATAACAGACGAGTACAGCAGTGTCACTTGCCATCCGATTTAAATCTAGTTGGATTATTTAAATTGGACCATGAGTGTTTTGAATTTGAGCGATGATGATCAAATCAATCTTCAATATTGGAGAGACAAAAACTGTTCAGTCTGTAGGAGAAGCTTTTTGCTGTTCATTTTTTGTAATTTTTTTCAGATTAGTTCTTTGAGTGGACAAGATTGGCGCATAAATTTTTTTTTTTGATTATGCTGGCGACGAACAACAAAAGATGATAATGTGTTTAGATAAATTAGAAGCTTCTTTTACCATGCGCGGTTTTTCGTAAAATTCATGGTTAACGAGCAAATTTGTGTAGCAGCAGAAGGCAGTTTAGCGATCGACTATTGGCACACGAGAAAGCAAAATACCAAAAAATATCCTACAGACTCTCTTTAAAACTGTTTCCTGAGCTGACCATTTAAAGCTTTCCTTGTTGATGTGTCTTTTTTTCTGAGTATCTGCGACGAGTGAAAATTTGTGAAATTCTTCGTAGATAAAAATACAACAATAATGTTCTTCACCATCAGAACTGCTTGCATTTTACCATCAGACGGAATAAAATTACCATCTTTTTCAATCAATCAATTCCAAAACACTCTTCACATGCAGAAAATCAAACCAAAAGCTTCCTTATCAATATTTTTCAGGTACGTCCAATGTGCTGTACTCGCCCGTTTAGGTTTACAGTTTACGCTAAAAAACCAACCAAAGTGGGTTATTTAAAAGGAAAAAAAGGATAATAAAACGACAAATCTATGTTCTAAACATCGAACACCAACACTGCTGTTAACTAACCAACGTTATGCTATAGATTGACGTAAGTCGGTTCTTGAGAAGGTTGAGTACTGGCGGCCCCGGCGATGTGCAGAAGACCTCCTTGGATCGCTGTTGTGGGCCCCCCACTGTTTTCCGGACTAAACAATCGTTAAAATGTACAAGGGGGCTCAACAAATACATATACATACACTCAAATAGATGCATAATAATAATAATATGTAAAGGAAAATCTATCGAAATCGAAAGCGACGCTAAAAACGAGTAACAAGATAATCAAAACAGACACATAGATAAGGAATAAAATCAACTAACAAGTACAAATATAATACGTAGATAAAGTGCAGTAACATCAGAAAATGTGTCTAAAGATGTCGAAAACGGAAATAAACTTTTCTCCGGCCCCTTTGCACTGACTTTAACAATTGTTGATGGCTACTCGACAGCAGTGTGTGGTGCACAATATCTAAGTTTTTTCTTTTTCTCTTTTTTGCTTATTGATGGGTACTTTTTCTGTGTGGGAAGACACATTTTCTGATTGAAAACACTGTTTCTGGGTTCCAGTTACGTTCCTAGTGCCTTCCGCAAATCATAAGGTACACAAACTCGAATAAAAATAACTTAAGTCTTTCCACATAGATAAGAAACACCAATTTAGCATCATTGCATGGATTTAGTCAATCGTTTTAGTACTCTCGCTAACCAACACGAACAATATCGACGAAAAATCCATACAATAATTGAAAATAAACAAATTTTTGAAATCACATTCAACGTTCGCAAAGTGGGAACGTGGAATTGTGCCTTCTAGTTCATGCATTGGTGTTTGGAAATCAGAAATGCTCTACGTCTACTAGATGGAATAAGGTGCAAGTGTTGTGAGAGAATGTCGATTGATTTTATATAAAAAAATAAATATTCCAATTCTTTTCAGGGTTGTCATAACTGGTTGAATTATGACTCACTTTTCATTTACTGAGATTGATTTTGTCTTAAAAATGCTTCATATTAATAGAAGCATTTTCGATATTATGCCCTGGATCGGTTCGCTTTTCTCAATCAATCAATGGGCAATGGACATTCTTTCGCTGTGAATATGGCAGGAAATTAATTGGTTTTTGGAAAAACTTCCACATCTTCGTTTAGAGTGCAATCAAAATGGAAGTCGGGTTCAAGGTGCCAAGTCGACGCAGAAGGATTCATACTATAGGTCAGAAGCAAAATTTAGAAAACAAATTCTGGAAATATTGGGCATTAATTAAGTTGTTTTGCTTGAAACAAGCTAGGTTTAGCTCAGAGTGTGTTTTTTCTCGGATAAAGGAGGGTCCTGTTACTACATGGACATTGAAATTTCTATTGGGTTTCATTAACTGAGCCTTAGCTGTGTTTAATTCGATTCAATCATTCTAATTAATATCTCGATTATTAGACACCACATATTGGTAATCTCTCGTGCCTGAAACATATAGTATTTCTTTGTGACAGTTGATGTTGACCAATGATGTCTCCTTGCAGAGTTTGAACATTTGGCACCCAACTCCAGAACACCTTGTATAGTAAATACCGAAGCAAACAATACAGAGCTCAACAATCAAAACTACAAAAAGTAAAGAAAAGTGAAGAAGTTGATACTAACCTGCAAGGTTTACACCACTGGCTCTGCTGATCCAAACCGTATCGCGCTCTGCATTTTTTCATATTGTTTCCTATTGCAGAAAAGTTGAAAATTATTGAAGTTGTAAAAACGGACTGCGGAATCTACTCAACCAGCATGCATAATGCAAAAATGATGAAGGCAAAAAACAACTAGGTATATAATTGACAAATAAACTTGAGTTACTGTTAAGAAGCTGACAAAATGAACGTAGTTGAATAGCGCTTGTAAAGGAACTTCAAATATCTACCTGTCACCAAGTAGTTATTTTTTTCATGAAAATTACGCTAAAAATAAAACTAATAATAATATCTACGGTATAGAGCAATAACATAAGTGGGGATAACTAGGGACAAAGGACATGCTTAATACGAAGCAGAGCCAAAATTTTAAGAATATGTCGACTAGCATTTGCTTAGTACTGCTGACTGCGCATCACTTGTTTTTGACCGATTGCCCGCAAAAGTCTTAATCAAAAACAAAGGCTCTGCCTACAACATAAGAGGGTCGGGACATGCAGGTTTCCGACAAACGTGCATACGTCGAGTCCAACAAGAGAAGGTCTGCATAAAGACCGTTTGCAGAATAGGTACTGGCCGGCCAACCGATTAACCCCAACATGCAATATGTATATAAATATAGATAAAACAATAGAACAATGGTCGGCTTACAACATACAACTACTCCCACTAGACCTTAGATCGGTTGACTTGGAGGAGGAAGTTTTTGGATGAATGTTTTTTTGTTGTTGTTGATGAAGGTTTGATGACAAAGTTGAGTTTTTCAAAAAAAGGAGTGGTAAACGAGTCGGTATTGATCGGTAATTAGAGTGATGGTGGTGGTGGTGGGCCGCGTTGTGAAAGCAAAGAAAATAGTGGGAATAGAAGTAAGTAGTAAGGGTGGCTACCTCCATCTTGAGGATCTTGCTTACGCTTCCTCTTCTTTCCGCGAGTGGCGTTGGCGCGGGACGACCAATCGGGATAAAGCTGCATATGCAGCTGCCTTTCGCGTCGAGCCAGTTCATAGTACTTAGCCTGCTCCTCCCGGCCCAGCGCATGCCACTAAACAGAATAGAGTCAGCATGCAGCATGACGTGTCGGTATCGGCGGCAGGCACCAAGAAGCCGCAAGCGTAAGATCGCCACCACTTTGGCCTCGCCGACCCATTCTGCCCCGTCAGCACGCTGGTATGCACGTCGTCGGTCGGTCAGACAATTGGGGGTTAGATCGAATGCAATCAATTTGGATTTTTGTTTGTTTGTTAGTCCCTAGCGGATCTGTGTGCGCAGACAGTCACTCTTGGTTGAAAAGGGGCAACATTTCAAATTCGGCGCACATAGATCGGAGAGATTTCGGGCACTCTACTTAGCAAAAATGGGTGCGCGAATCTTTGATAACTACCTCCCGACTCGATCGGTGCTCTCTCTTTCTTTCGCTTCTTCTTCTTGGTGCCGTAACCGTAATTGTCCCGTGCGCTCCAACCCGGGTGCCTCTGCATGTGCAATTGTCTCTCAAGTCTTGCTTTGTCGTAATACTTGGCCTGTTCGTCGCGACTTAGAGAGTGCCACTATTGCAACCATACCTTTAGCTTTTCAGTTTCATTGGACACCCACAAAGACACACACTCAGACACACTGATGCTGGCGCGCCAAGAGTCGACACCTGTCGTCTTTGGCGCCACCATCGCATCCGCTCACACTACACGCATTATACTTGAATCTCGATAGGTTAGATAAGATAATATCAGCAAATTACAATACCCTACAACGTTTTCAATGTCTATTCTAGATTGCGTCAAAATAATCTGTCATATTTTTACTGTTCTTTAGTTTAGATGTGTTGAACGATTTTATCTTAAAGCTCGTTCACACGGTGACAATAGCGTCGCGACAGTGTGACCTTCAACTGTTCAGACAATGACACTGTTGTGGACGACATTAATGTCACCGTGTAAAAGAGCTTAGTTAAAATGAAAACTTCAATCTGTCACTTGAAATATCGACTGTTCAACTTCACAAAATGTTACCAAATGTTACTGAAATCGATCAAAATATCGTTAAAATATCCACTTTGTATCGCATTTGGCATTTAGCACTACTCCCTGTAAAACCCAGTAATTTTTGAGAGAATTGAGGTAAAAAACTCGCCCTTGTCATTTATTTTTACTAACCCTTTGGATTTGGTTTAGTTTGGGTTAATCACAGTTTGTCCAAAAACTGTAAATTTAGAACAAAACACTATGATGCTGCTGCGCATGCCTGAATGCTAGAGCTACTTCCTACCTGGCCAGACTGCTGGTGGAAAACTTGGCTGTTTAATTTGAAGAATGCACAAATTTCGAAAACACATTTCATCAAACCTTCTTTTTCGGTTCGGTTATTGTCCATAATTTTAAGTTATTTCGAAGCCACAATTGTAACCATTAAATTAGAGCTGTTTTGAACAAAATTTTTTGAAAATAATTATTAACTTGGAAACCTAACGGAGATGGGTATAGAAAAATATTTTGAAACTAATCGCGCAGTAGTACTATATACAGGGTGCCTCATTAAAAATGGCAAACTTGCAAACTATTGGTACACTACTTTTTGGTATAAAATATTCACCTTGTATATGTTGGCATACACAGGGTGATTCACGGTTGATGGTACGTTATATTTTAAATTACTTTATCAATAAAGTTCACATTTCATATTCAAATATGAAATCTGAACATTGAACATCATTCAATGCAATCTTTATGAAAAAATGTACATCGAAGTAATCGCATACGCTTTATGGGCGTACATTATTATTAGCAATGCGACGTTGCTGCTTATATTGAAAGGACCTACAACTTCGATATTTTAAATGAGACATCCTGTAAAATATGGCACATTTGGATTGGCCCTATGGATCTAATTCCCTTCTATACCTGAAGCGGTTTTAGAAAATATAAAATAACATTTATGATTTTTTTAAATCAAAACAGCCCCCAGGATTATTGTTGTTGCAAAAAGGACTAAAATTGAACGAAATGTGTCAGTTCACATTTCAAAATCAAAATGTCAAAATGTTCAGTTTCCGGATATCAGAAATATATTAAATATAATCCAAAATTTTCAGAAAGATCGTGAATCGCGTTCTACATAAAAATTTAATACGAGATCGACCGTGAATCGCCCTGTAATGACGGTTAAAGAACTTAGATCCATAATGTTTGTAAGCAGTGTAAAAAAATGAGATCCAGTGAGTTTTTCCTTTTTACAGAACTCACACTATATTTTAACTAAATAGTCAAAAATATTTCATTTGTTTCATAAAAGTGCAATTTTGATACTGTTTTGAAATCCGAACAGGAGAAATTTTATTAAATTTTTTAAATAAGAAAACCTCACTGGGAATTACTTTATTTGAAAACAGATCCGCAATATTTAATTGAAAGTCTTAAAATCGGAAAATGTAAAAATTAGCTATAAATTGGAGATAACTTTAATCGACTTTCTCTCTCCCTTTCATACTCACATAAAAATACAATGTACAAAACATACAAATGAAAATTCCTTACCCGTCGACCAAGAATTTGGTTAATGGCCGCACTCTCCTTCAGAGTACACTCAGCAACCACTTTGGCACGCATCTCTTTCATATAAAGCATAAAAGCGTTGAGGGGTTTCTTAATGTGAGGCTTCTTCTTTTCATTATCCTGATTGTTTTTACTGTCCACGTTGTTTTTGTGATCTTGAGCCCTGAAAAAAATAAACCGACTTCAAAGTGGTGCGATCTGAATCAACAAGTTTTCGTTGAAAAAAAAACATTCTGAAAAATGTGCATGAAATTACTCTAGTTGATGATTTAATACAATGCTATAAATTCGGCAAACATCTAATGGTGCATCCAGACCTGACGAGTCGAGCCTGAGCCGCGGCAAAATTAGTTTGGTCCTTCGTCAAACCACATCCATTTTCTGTAGGTGTTTTCAAGAAATTTGCCGCGGCTCAGGATCGACTCGTCAGGTCTGAGGTCTGAACGCACCATAAGATTTGTCGAAAAATAACGGGAATAATCTCGCAAGCTCAGAAGGGTGGGACGGCCTTTCTGTTCTAATCAAGCGCGCGATAGTACCGAGTCTTCATTTAAATAGAAAACGAGCGAGAATAATTCGACTAAAGCTAAGCCAAGCAAGAACGTCTGAGATAATTAGATACTAGTTATAGTCGTTCATTGTGCGTAAATCTGACTGAATATTTTAAAAAGAACGTCGTCGAATGTGACAGAGTTATCGTTTCGGATTGGTCTGATATCAAAATACACTGTTTATGATTAAAACGTTATTGAATAATTCTTATAACATAATTTCACTTTTTTCATTCCTCATTATGACAAACACTTTTATTTAATGCTATCAATGCAATGGATGGTCAGAAAATTTGGTGCCCACTTCGAAGTATCTTCGCTATTTGCAGTTAGAGAAGTTTTCCACAGCAAAAATATGAATATGCATTAATTTTCTCAATAGATACCCTACACAATAACAAAAAGCTAAAGCGGCAGCCTAAGTCGAACGTATGCAACCACCCAAACTGGGATCAAACAAGTTTCAAATCTCACCCGGGAATCAGTTTTGGCTTCGGATCCGACGTTTCGTCCTGCATTTCGTTTTTGATCAGGGCATCAAAACCGCTGGGAAACGTGTAGGTTTTGTAGGGCTTTTTTTCCAGTAAATTGTTCAAAATTCGATTAGACGAAGAACTGTTAGATTTGGCATCAAACGGAGACATCGAGTTAGGCCGCTGAGGCATATTCAGATACGGGTTGGATTGTTGTGAGTGATTCATCAATGAGTTCATATACCAGGCCGTCAAAAATTTATTGTCCAGACAACTCATGAACGAGCATAAATCAGGTGACTGTTTTTCCTTTACCGATTCCGTATTAGGTTCTTTCTGTGTCGGGCTGTATACGTTTCGGTTATACTCTGTATTGTTCCGGGACTCTTCCCCTTTCAGCAAGTAGTTTCGCAACTGTTCACTGGGATTCAGATTTTTGCTTAAATTTGTGTTTTTTGTCAAATCCAAGCACTGCTGCTCCTGCTTCTTGTTCTTCAGCGACAAATCCTGCGGAAAATCGTTGCTACATTTACTCAACTGATCCCCGGCATCATTGTTGCTGTTGTTGTTGTTGTTGTCATTGTGTTCGGGAACAAGTTTATCCACAGAAGTGTCCGAACGCGAAAAAGGGGCCACGATGGCAATGGGCATCTTCTTCATGGTTAAATTCAATGGCTCATCCGGGAAATCCATTTTCTTGGATGGTACAAATTATCAATACAGCCAAAGGAAAACCAAGACAAATCCGCGCGCCAATAGGCCGAGATCAACAAGTTTTTTATATGCCAGTTTATCACGGGAGAAAATCAATATAAATGGCTGAGCCCGTCCTTTGTTGTTCGGGTTGAATGAAAACAGACGGAGAACACGTGGATATTTCCCGTTCTAAACGACACCAAGCACAAGATCGGAAAACCGGACCTGTTTTCGATGAGAAAAAAACAAATTTTCTACCGATTATTATTCCGTATCACAGAAATGATTATACGCGGACGTGAAGAGAAACGCGGACCCGTCGGTAAGCACGATTTAATAGCCGATGATGAAATTGCCGGGGTAAAGAGGACAGTTCGGATAGTAGGTTGTTACTAGTTAGATAGAGAGGGCGAAATGCCCCGCCGTTTGTTATGTCGCTATTTGACGGATTGATTCTGCGATTTACCGCTCACTGCTGGGTACAGCGCATCCAGGGAAATTGCAACAAGTCCTCTACCCCTCGTTAATTGTTTTCCATTTTGCTGGGATTTCGGCTTCGCTTTGCCGTGCCACGGATTGATTATGACGACCTTAACGATTCTCGGCCCCACGCCAGAATAATGTAATATCATTATTCTCATTAAAATCCGCAATCTGGAATTATCAATGCTGACGGCATCTTAATTCCCTGGGACAAAATTCAAAATCCACCCTTATGGGCGCTTTGAGAACAGGAAAAATATCTACAGAACCGTGAGGTTTTAAACCCAACCGCCCCCATCCAGATTCCAAACAACTGAACTCTTTTTTCCATTCGGGAGGCTCTGGTATGTTTGTGCATTTGTACATGTAGAGGCCCCAAAAAAAATCTCCAGATAATTGGCAAGAACCAAACATTCCCCTTTTCCACACGGTGCATGAATTAAGCCGTTGAAAAAGACCTTCCATTGAACAACGACCCAATTTGGGGCCTGGTTAAAAATGCATGCTATTACGGGACGGATCTCCATCATCAAACGGAATTATTGATCATTGCCAGAAAGCGGAGATTCAGCGCCAGCGGCCACTTTCCGAATGATCTTTTGAACAATGGAAATAGGTTTGGAATTTCAATGAGGGGAACGGGCGATTCGGATTTTAGCTTACAGATGGGGTTGGATTTTGGTCGTAAATCGCCCAATCAAGGGTTGAAATTGGACCTTTATCGACTGCCATAGAGTCTAGTAGGTAGTAGTGGACATTACAAGCTTAGAGCGAATTCGTGGATGCTGCGCGATAAAGGAGGCTGAAAAACAATGCCAAATTTGACTATTTTAATAGTCTTTATTGAATTCGAAATATTAATGAGGTGGAGGTTACTTTATTAGTTAAATTACTTATGATCTCCGTAGAAAATGTCCAATGGCTCACGCGTATGGTTTGTTTGATCAGTTTTAGGTTGAAATCGAATCAGGCTATTGTCCCCAATTATACTGTGTAACACTAAATTTAATCAAATAAAGATTAACAAAATATTACTAATAAAGTAATTCCCTCAATTATTTCTTTTATTTTTACAGCACAACCACGCTATACTTGAGAGATCATTCTAAAGCTCGAATTAGTGGTCAGCATCTTTTCGATAGTCTGTCACGAGAACTATAATTTCGAACTTACAAAAATTTAAAACCGTAAGCAATTTCTCATTATTAAAAAAAACTCTTTCCTCTCGAAAAGGCGCCATAATTTTTTCTTGATCCCCTCGTGCAAATTACGTGGTTTTGCCATTGTTTTCGATAGCGAAAGAATCACATTTACCCATTACAATGACAGGACAATTATCTTTTCTCCCATTATTTATAGTACAAGAGACGAAAGTCGAAGTTACGCCACTGCATGAACGCCCGAGACGAAACCGAGGTCGTCATGCACGCAGTGGCGGTATACAATTCTTCTTGATCCTTGATGGAAACTAGCCGGGAAAAGTATAAGGTTTCGAAAAAAAAGGGATTTGAGAATGTCAAAACAGTCAAGCTGTCAGCGTGCGTGGCAAAAGTTATTACTTTCCACACGAGATAAAGAAAATTTGTAATGGGTAAAAGTAATGCTTTCGCTATCGACAACAGTGGCGAATGTACGTACTTGCCACCAGGGGTCAATAAAATGAATGTCTTTATTCTATGTGGAAAGTAATAACTTTCGATACGCAAAAAAACAGCCGACGGAAAATGTTGTTTTTCTGGCATCAGCAATTTTTAATTTCATATAAAATGAAAAAGATATGTTCCAAAATTTCAAACTTTTTGCCTTTTTTGGACACGTAATTTTCACTCATTTGCCTGCACGTGCCGCAAAAGGGTTTCAAATATATTTCGCACACTGCTGAAGGGCTTTGAAATAGTATATCTCACCCCATCTGGCCGTGGCTCTGCCAATTCGAGAAGTTCGACTAGCATTTCCAACCCCCCGGTAGCTCTCATTGTTAGGCCCTTCGGAAAACGACCGCTAGAGGACTGAAAGAAGCGTCCAGTCAATAAAATGTTTGATATTTGAATTCCTGCCCTTTCCAGAGCGTGTTTCGGCTTGCTCCAGGTCAGATGTCGCTATGGCTACGAGCTAAGAATTTCCCGCAATGTTCCGTTTTTTCCATTCGATAATAGTAAATTGTACGCAAACCGCTCAATAAATCTAAGCTATTTGACAAGCCAAGATACACAACAAAAGGCTCAAACCCAATCGAATAGTGGCATTTTGAGCTTGCCAACGGGAGGCTGTTATTGAATATGCTGATTTATTAGTCACTTAACTATGGCTTAGGCATTAAGGCTTTCTTCGGTGAAGGAAGTCCTTAATGCTTTTCCTTTTGTTGGATTTTGTGCTCATAGTAATGGGCAGTAGAGGTTTTCTCGGAAGAAAGCCGTATCTTCGTCCGTCCAACCTTTTGAATATTAAGATCGTCGACAGCTCTATTGCTTTGCTTTGATTTTGTCATATGCGTTTTGGAATATTCATATACCCATTGTAAAACTCGTGAATTTTTCGTGGTTTCAAAGACTTTCTTGCCCACGTTTTCCAAGCACCAAGTTTCAAGCAAGATTACGCCTTAGAAGACATTCTTCTCTCATCAGTTACAAGTAATGGTTGGTTGTCATTATAATTAACATGTTGATGGGGATTACTTGTTAAAATGTATCCTGCATCCTTAGAATAGCGCACACACACTCGGGAAAAAAGTCATTTGTAATAATTTAAGTCTTGCTCAGACAGTGGCTAATAGATCTTAATAAGTAAATTGGTAGTGTTGTTTAGCAGTCTCGAATGCGTTTCTTAAACAGACAGATTAATAGTAATTAGAGTTTCTTGCGCTCTGTGGAAATATGGGAGAATCATACTAATTCCAGATTATTTCATTTAAGTCCTTGTCGAGTCTGGTTAGGTACATAATACGCAAATGTAAGCAAATTGCATATTTCCTCCTTGCACTTTGCATGTGCATTGCTTGAAGCTTATTTTGATGCAGACCGTCATTATTAACCACTAAGCGCGATTGATTAGAGATATGTGGAACACACATTGCAGATATGCCACTAATAGTGCCGCCGTTAAATTGACATCTGCACGTGCGTATTTGCTTTGTAGCAAGGCGTGCACTAATAAGGTTTGTGCCTGCCGTTATTTGTGCACTTTTCATAGGTGGCACAATTCGATTATCATTTTACTCCGGTGCATAATCCCTTGATTAAGCACTTTTCAAATCGAATTTATCCAAGATACACTTTTAAATGATTCATTTATCAATCAACGGAAAAGAATTTCTAGATCGCTAAACAAACAGAGACATATTAAAATTAAATCCCCACAAGGCCTTATTTTTGCGGTTCCCATAACACTGCAATGAAAGGTAAATAGTGCCTAGCAGTATTAAGTACAGCCTGCAATTATTAGTGAACGGGCACTAAACATGTTCTTTCATGTCTCTCTATTACCGGTGTTGTTTTTTTTGTTAAATTTCCACTATTTCCGCAATAATTGGTTAATTCATTTCCCTGGCAATTTTCCGAGCCGGCAAACCGCAATCGGATTTTTCTGATTGGAAGAGGAAATTAAGTCATATCAGGCCGAGACGCTCTCGGCTCGATTGGCCTGCGCCGTCTTTCCCGGGGAGCCCCCTGAGCGGCCCCTTAATTGCCGCCCCGCGATAATCCGTCGCCAAGTTCGACGAGGGCGGTCATGCGGGGAATGAGATCCAAGATTGGTTATCGGCGTTGCGGCCATTGGCCATCGGTTGCCTGGACAACCGCTGCCTTCCCCAAGTATCCGAAGGGCCAAACGATCCACGACCCAACAGCAAACCGTTCACACGCAATTGCTTTAAATATCAACAGAGCAAAACCAGCAAGTGCTAACAAATAAATCGAAGAGCGAAAGGTACTAAAACTAAAAAGAAAAATTGATGCAACCTACCTGTAATATGCATCATACCTGTTATTGATATCAGGTAATTCCTGTTTGGGCCCAGGTGTTACTATGGCAGGGTGGGATCCGAGGTGTGTGGGATGAGGACCGAGTCCTGGATGTGACTGGATTAGGCTGGATGGTGAGAAACGGTGATAGAAGTCCGCTGGGCCGGGCAAAGCGCTCGGATAGGGACTTCGAAAACTCGCCGCTCCCGGTATCGGGTACATGCTCGGCGTATGCCTAAAAAAGAAACATAAACTGTTCTAAAAAAGTGAAATGACACTAGACCTGGGTAACTCAGTGATTTTTTAGGAGTTGGCGCAGTGCTGCGCCAACCCAACGCACCGGCGCAGCAACTCTATTCCGTTGCTGGGAAAATGTTGGTGACTTTTTTTTACTTTTTTTAGATTTATTTTAAAGGCAATACAAATGCCGACAATCTTAAGAATATTTTCCGCAAAAAAAATGAAATAAATTTCGAATCCTTCGTCGCTTTGTAAAATGTTTTGAAATCCGTTTCCAGCTTCGAATTTGGAATAAAAATTTTCTATCAAAAAACGAACAAACGAAAGTTTATAACAGACTATTTGGAAATCTCGTCACCTCCATTCCTCTGAAGACTGTAGAATTTGTTAAAGAATGCAGTTTGTTTAGTTTTGACTGATTTTTTTTGCTTTCCTTTCTACTCAAAAACACTCTATTTTTAGAGTTTCACTTAAAAATACTGACGACCTGGAGGACTTTTACGCGAAAAATTACAAGATAAATTTATAGCTTTTTAAAAATGTCTCAAAAACTTCTACCGTTTTTCCCGAAAACCAAGGTTTTCTCCAAAACCGATCACAAAACTAAAAGCTTTTAATCGAAAAAATGTAGTAACGTTTGACAATGTAGTAAAACGTTACTCTACAAAAATGTTAATAACCCTTTTTTAGATGTGAAAATTCCAGTCTCGGGTCTCGTAAAGCTTTAACAAATGAATTATAACTCATTAACCGATGAGTTATAACTCGTTAACTCAGAGAGCGGCAACAACTCAATAGCGCAACTCAACACAGTTTTTCCCAGGCCTAAGTGACACATTTTCGGGGCACGCTAAGAGCATTACTAAGTGAATTTCCTACACTTGCATCAACGGGCACACGTTAACTAGAGTTTTTACCGATTTAAAATAAGGTTGAGTAAATATTGAGGGCCCAGATATGTACTTTATTTTGGCTTTTTTTTTAATTTTGGAAATTTGGAATTTTTTCAATTTCGAACGATCGTTTAAAGTAGTGATTAGCAAAATTGATCTTGATCTTGCTTTTCTACTCGAAAAGAACATTTTGTGTGGAGATTTTTTACTTTATTGTGTATTTAAAGTGGTGACACAGGTGTGCATCTGTTGAGAACTGAAATTCTTCTAAGTGAAGGTTATAAGAAGAAAATATTTATTCGACATGTGCAAAACTGAAACTTTGGAGAAAAACATGTTCTCTATTGACCGAAAATGTTTCTAGGCGTCTCGTAGGCCTTCAATGGCCTCTTTAGACTTTAATAATTAGAGCCGAGAATCATCAATAGAGTTTAGTCCTAAGAAAGCAACAATACTAAGACGATTAGTCATATTAAAAATATATGTTTTTATGCACATTTGTAAACAGTGAAACTTCAAGTAGTAAATAAATATCGCTAAACAGTTTCCAGTAAACACTTTAAATATTGATCCAATGTCTCTTCGCAGAGTCCTGAAATAAGTTGATTTATAAACAGTAAGATTGCGAAGATATTTTAATTCATTATTAGATTATAGATCAGATCCGAATCCGAATACGGCACAAGTACTTAAAGTAATCCAATTATTCTTTGCCTTTGAGCCTCTTCGAGTAAGGAGTAGTTACTTTTTGAAAACCTCCATCCAGTACTCATACTTTTTTCATAACCCAGCTAGGTTAAACGACCGATTCACTAACCCATCCCTCGGCGCTAGTAAATCCACTTGATTACTATAATAGTGTTAAATTGATTCTTTGAACAAATGTATTCACCCCTCAATCGTCACCCCTGTAATGGACAATAAATAATCCCTAATAATCCCTAATATTGCTCGGTTTTAATTCACAATAGAAGTAGATAGTATGCATGCAATTGTTGGCTAGTGATATGCTAATCATTAATTGCACAGCTATTTTTTTAGAAAATACGATATTCTAAAGATGTACACAATAAAATACACTTTACATTAACGTGCCTTCGATTTCTTGTTTTCAATTTAAATTAAGTAAGTAATGGAGAATTATTTTTTAAACCACTGAATTTTAAAAAGTTAATTGTTCTAATGATGGTTGTTGTTCACCGCTTAATAGACGCTATTCTTGGAAGATACATTTTGTATGTAAATCACTTTTTCGAAGAGGAACTGGCAGTGGAACTGTTTTAAATACAGTACATTCAGCTTGATTTGCTCTCGATTTGAATAGAATACATGCGCGAAAAATCGATCAAAAACATTCTAAATGCGAATTGGATAATTTCTAGTTAGTCACTTATTGCATTAAACAGTGTCTCTTGAGTGAATGCAGCACTAATTTACATTTAACCGTGGGAATACGATTTAAGTTTTAAAAATTAATAAATAAGAGAGGGTGTAATGCAAAATGTTTAGAAAAGTATTTGGACCCAGATAAGTGGTAATAAGGAGTTACACTCTTAGATAGCTGTCCTCTGAAACCGTACTGTTCTTATTTGTATGGTTGACGGAACTAGCGAGGTAAATAAGTAAAAATACGCTTACCATGTGGCCACTTGTGCTGACATTTCCGGACTAAGCATGGGGTACGGATACTGACCAGTTGGAAATGAATACATTGTGGGGCGAGTGAGTCCTGAAAATAAAAAACATTTAACAAATCGTTATACCACGCAAAATAATTTGAAGCTATTGCCAGGCTTAAGAACAACGGTAAATTGACGAGACAATGCAAGTGGCTAACCTGAGAACATGAAATGTAAAGGTCTGAAGAGTCGCCATAATCTGCGAGCCCTGGACTTCCAGGGCTCCACCAAACTTTGATGAGTTCTACTCATTTTTCGGAATCGTATATGTATTATCGGCTTTCGCTGCCACGGTCAAATGTACTAAATTTTATTTCGGTAGTAAAAGCTTTAACGGCGAATTGTGCACAAACACTGAAACTTATCGGGCGACATACCGATTTATCAAAAAACGTACCAGCAATAAAAAAAATTGAAAATATGAAGGCGATGAAAAGGGCAAAAGAAATAGCTCTACTTCGAGCTTCAATGACCGCGTTCACCTTCTAGAATATTTTATAAATTTGTTTTTCTGATTGAAAATGTAGCTAAAATTGTTATTTCAAGTGGGCAGTACTAAGACCGCTTCATCTGGATGGTCAGATTTTCGCTACGGAAATGTGATTGGAAAACGTTAATAACGGATAAATTTTTATAGAAAAGTCTCTAGTAAATAATCGATCCCCGAATTTGAATACTTCAAGTATTGTATAATTTTTACTCAACAAACGAAAGGTATGATGATAGTCGTAAAACAAATAAGTGAGAACTGAAAGAAGTGCAAGTAAAAAAAACAGTTGAAACAAAATCGAGACAATAAAAAGCTTCAATTTCAACCCTTTACCTATACACTTGCTAATGCCGCGTCCCGACGAGCGCAACAAAGCAGTGACGCGAACGCGGCTGCAAAGTGCTTGCAGCGGCTGTTCTTTCGATCGTGGTCTCCACTGAAAGCCCACGCGTTTCCAATCTGCATGTTTTCAGTACACGCAAAGGTAAATAGTCGTCCAAACTGTGGCAAGGTTCCATTTATTGTGCCGTCGAAAAATCTTCCATCCATGGTAGATTTTTCGACGACAAACTTCCGGGGCTTCGCGCTCGCTTTCGTTAGGTCTGAACCCGGCCTAAAGAAGCTTGCTTTTCGCTAAATAAACCAAAGAAAACTAGCATTTAAAATTGGAGTTATATGAATCTTCAGTAAGTTAATGTGGTTGACCAGCTAAAGTCCAATAAAAACTGACAGTGCACCCCTATAAACACTATGCCGGCTATGAAAATAATTTATTATTAGCAATTAAAACGGAAATGCGATGTAAATCATCTAAAATACAGCTTATTTGGCGTGAGCTAACCTCTAAACGTAGCCTACCTCTAAACGACTGTAAGGCCATAAATAACCAAAGAAACATTTAATGTATTGAATACCAACTAGGATTTGTTGCTCTCGCTTAACTGCAGGATTTTATTGTTGTTTGAACAATTAATGTCTGAGCTTATCAATTAAATTCAGCAATTGTTAAAACGAGCCAAAATTCTCCTGCGTCAAATTATATACGGAACGTTGGGCGCAAATAAGGGCGTCGTTGTAGGCGCACCACGAGGTCCGTTTGCACTTATGCGGTTTTAATGACCAGCAAACGCCCTTCCAATTCCACTCGTTCCGTTAATACTTTTCTAATACCGTTAATGAAGAGCAGCCACAAGATTATACAGATAGAATTTCAAAATTTTTCCTACTTTGCTACTAAAGTAATAAAACAGTATAAAAAACTACTTTTCTACTTCAATTAAAAAGTATTTTCGATATTGAGACCAAATCCAAACAGACGCTCAGATTTAATTGATAACCTGCTCAGCTCCAAAATGAGCATCGCTCTTTAGCGAAATCCCATCATAATCCGAAAGTTATTAAAAAGACATGCTCGTCTTTCATTGTGTTGAGCCGCATGGCATATTAGAGTTCCGCTAATGTAATTGCCGACATATTAATAAATGCGTCCCAAGTCCGAGGCTGTCATTGTGAACATGTCAATATCTACATTGCTCAGATCAACAAGTTTCCATTCAAAGGCAACGCGGTGTAAGGAGGCTTTTGTGTTGGGGCCCATCGCCCCCAAATTTGTATACAACCCCGGAAAACTGATATCAATCGGGATGTGTATCGGGAGTTCCGCTTTTGTCCACGAATGGGGCTCGAAATCGACTCGGTGAAAGGTTTGCATCATCAATTTTCGAGATTAGTTCGATCGGAAGGGTCCGCAGAATACATGTTCTTAAATGCACTTTGATTAAACTTTAATTTTTCACCGGGGGTGGTTTGCATTCGGCTCCGAATACGGTTTTGAGCACTTTACTTCGCGTATTCCTAGATACACACATACTATTTTATGTGCGAACTTTAAACACTTCTTCAATTTCTTTGTAAGTGGAAATTTCTCAAGAGGTCCTACTAAACAATCAACTCAGGTTTAGTCAAGAATACGCCGCTTTTGAAATAAATATTCATCTAAAACACGTATACCTACGTAAAGTGAATGGTAATCAAAAGGCGTATACGCCGCTGCATTGAATACGACTGCTTTTATACATGTATATTGACCGATATTTAACTAGCTCATAACCATCTACTCATAAGTGATCGCTTTATGAAATAGTGATAAGCGAGCCTGCGGTGGTCTTGCAAAAAATGCAAGACTTTAATATTGTCCATAATGTTAAATATGTCCTTAGCACGTGAATATATATGATAAGAAAAATGGACCGTTTTAAATGCGCAACGATTCACGTTGTGAGAAAACATACAATTAGAAACCAAAGTACACCGTAACTGAAACCGAATCAGGTGTACATGGAAACATAAATTAATACTGTTCAATTTTTACAGAATCCAATAGACGAAGTTAAACACATATAAGAATAATAAGTAAACTGGAGTGAGGGTATTTTCTCCATCATTGCCATTTTTTCATATCTTGAACGTAAAACGTAAAAGTTTAAAATAGTTATTAAAACGTTTGTAATTTTAAGAACGACGCCTCCCATATCACGATACACCTGTTTCTGTGTATCGTGGACGAAATGAAACGTTTTGGGCGATTCTGCAATTTCAACCGAAGACAACACACTTTCGAAAAATATAAAGATAAATACAATTTTTTAAGTCCTATGGTTTCATAAACTTACTGTTTAGCAGCAAATTAAAAAAAAATGGAAATTATATTCACGATTATTTTGATGTGAACAATGTCTGATGTCGAAGCCCTTTAAATCGCCACGACTAGATGTGAGAATGAAAGAGGCAATAATGGTGTTTTAAAAGTGTGATATTAATTTCATCAAAATCGCCCCTGCGACTTGGATGTGAATGAAACGAGATAACTGCAAAATAATCGAATTTATTAAGTTCAACCAGGCATTAATCAACTAATTTTAATGTTTTTTTTCTTCTATATAATTTGCTCGTAGTGGATCTTTATGGCGTGAAAACAGGCAGGACTAATTTCTTTTGTGCAGCAACCTCTATTAAAAGACACAAATCTTAGTGAATTTATATATCGCCAGTTTCCATTATTTGGACGCTCCAAGCCCTATTAGTTACTATATTGGAACGATTTCATAACAGAACAGATAAAACTGGAAAGGGTAAATAATTTAAAATACGGGCCATATTTAGAGGGGACAGACATTTTAGTTAAATAAACGACAAGACAGTTGGTAATATCAACTTGGTTCTTTTAGAGAGTTGTTTTTCAAATTTGTTTAAAGTATGCTTGATTTTTACCAGTTTTATTCTGACAGTTGGTTTTGAGATCCTTTGTTCTCGTAATTAAATTACTATACAAGGCACAGAGCACCTTTCAACTCAATTTCACTAGTATAATTTATTTACAATATTTCATTTATTTTCCAGTCGAGCCTTCAGACTGGATCTTCTGGATCTTCGATGTTTTCGTCGTATGATCAGCACCAAAACAAGTGCAAGCCGCCGATTTTCCTTCTTCATTACAAATTGTCCGAGATAGAAACTTAATATTCGCGAACAGCAGCGTTCAAAAATATGTTTTACAACAGAAACATAAAGCGACATCCTCGTTACTTAATTAGATTCGTTAGAAACAAAGTTTGCGTTCTGTAGGTTATATATCTCTGGTAATTTTTCGCAAATATTTCCACAAAAAAAAACAGAAATCAAAGCCATTACTTAATGTCGCAAGATGGGGAAATATTATATCTCCACATGGACTACAACTACTAGAAAAAGTCCTAAGGAAACTTGGCAAATGGAAAATTGCACTTTTACTGTTGTTTACTATTCTTATTGTTTATAGATATAGAGAAAACTTTGAATCCTCTTTAACTAACTAATAATTAAGTCAAATTGAAACCTTTGCCTAATGGCGCACTATCCGCTGAGTGACGACTACTTTTGCTTTAATCATGCAGTTAACCGTTTTAACTCACTTTCATATAATAATATAAATATAATAATAAAAACGTTGTATGTGTAATGTTTTGGACAAACATTGGTAAGAATTTGAGGGATTCTTGAATAAATCGCAAGTTCGTCAGGGAATTGCGACTGAACGGCATGAGATTTTTGTACTTTCAATGTTCTCAATCAACAGATTTGTCCACCAAGTAAAAGCTCAGCCAGCGTTTCTAATTTCATTCAATTTTCAACAAGAAAAACGCTTGGTTGCTCCAGAAATTCTCCACAATTTTTGTTCAAAGGCTGAACATCGTTTTTTTCATTGTATGAAAGTGAGAGATGAATATTTTAAACAATTATTAATTCATTAAATGTTTTACTCTAAATTAGTTAATTTAAATTAATCAATTGACTCAATGATTAATACGAAATTGTCTTTTACGGCAAAAGATAACTTAAAGATTGATCTCAACACGCAAATCTGAATATTTTTGAAAGTAAAAAAAGGGACAAGTGGAACTGAATGCTTTCAGAAGATTGTGATTTGCTCTTGGGATTTGTGATGCAATCTGCGTATTGTACTAATATCAGTAGTATCATAATATTTCACCCTGTCCTTCTAGGAAAAAGTGTATGAATGTATTAAATAAATAAATATTAAAGTGTGTATATTTATTTATTTTTATTAAGAAAACAGATAACAGCGATTGAGCACTCTCTGTAGTGAATATAGAGAACTTATACCCGAAAAAAAGAGACAAGCGCCCTCTTTGGTGGATAACATGAACTAACTTGATGATTGACAAACGACCTCTGAGGTGAATACATCCAACTACTAACATATGTAGCCCCGTCTGTAGTGAATCCGTCGAACTAAATTTTACAACGGCGCCCTATAGTGAATAAATCAAACTAATTATCGAAAGCAGCGCCCTCTGAAGTGAATAAGTCGTACTAAAAACGACAAAGCGCCCTCTGAAGTAAATACGTCGAACTGAAATCGACAAAAGCGCCCTCCGAAGTGAATAAGGCGAACTAAAAGCGACAAAGCGCCCTCTGACGTGAATAAGTCAAACTAAAATCGACAGAAGCGCCCTCTGACGTGAATAAGTTAAAGTAAAATCTAGGAAAGCGCTCTCTGAAGTGAATAAGTCGAACTAAAAACCGATTGATTGTAGTCCGACTTATTCACTGCAGAGGACGCTTCTGTCGATTTTAGTTCGACTTATTCACTTCAGAGAGCGCTTTCCTAGATCTTACTTTAACTTATTCACGTCAGAGGGCGCTTCTGTCGATTTTAGTTTGACTTATTCACGTCAGAGGGCGCTTTGTCGCTTTTAGTTCGCCTTATTCACTTCGGAGGGCGCTTTTGTCGATTTCAGTTCGACGTATTTACTTCAGAGGGCGCTTTGTCGTTTTTAATTCGACTTATTCACTTCAGAGGGCGCTTTTGTCGATTTTAGTTTGACTTATTCACGTCAGAGGGCGCTTTGTCGATTTTAGTTCGATGTATTCACTTCAGAGGGCGCTTTTGTCGACTTTAGTTTGACTTATTCACGTCAGAGGGCGCTTTGTAGCTTTTAGTACGACTTATTCACTTCAGAGGGCGCTTTGTCGATTTTAGTTCGACGTATTCACTTCAGAGGGCGCTTTTGACGATTTCAGTTTGACTTATTCACGTCAGAGGACGCTTTGTCGCTTTTAGTTCGACGTATTCACTTCAGAGGGCGCTTTTGTCGTTTTTAGTTCCACATTTTCACTACAGAGGGCACTGCTTTCGATAATTAGTTGTAGTTATTTACTATAGAGGAAGCCACAATCGTCTTAATCAGTTCAGACGGCAGCACAGTGTTTACAGGCCGTATTCACAAAGATTTTTAAGATATTTTTAAAATTTGACTCTACCGTTTTCAAGTTGTGAATATAACTTTCTTAGATCGTTCCGTGCTGATTTTCGTTGCCCCAACTGTCACCCACAATTATGCAAAGTGTTTTCAACTTTTTGGCGCTGCTGGAGCGCTCTTGCATTTGGTCAGTTGAGTGAAGAAAAAAACAAGTGTGATGCAGTAAAACTGTTCTTTATTGTTCCATTTTATATGCAGAAGAAACAGGCCTAACTGCCGTTAGGTCCAGCTATCGAAACGCTACCTAAACGACACACTAAATGGAAGATGGAACTTGGTTAATGAAGAAGGCGATTGGTTTATTAGTACGAATAAATAAACTTAAAACTAATAACTAATTTGGAGTTAGATAATATTATAATCTCACTATAAACATAATGTACAGTCACATTATAGTAATGAATAATATTGTTCGGCAGTTTGATAGCTGCGAACTGATCTTATACTCCTATAATTTAAATGCAGATCCATAACTATGGAATTCAAAAGATTCGAAACAAAACAATTGCTAGTGCGCTCTTTGCAATAAAATATTATTCAGTCCACGGTAAATAATTTCAAATAGCACATGGAACGAAGAAATTTGAACTATAAACTTAATAGCACAATCAAAAATTAGTAACAGACAATCTGAAGGCGCATCTGAGCTATACCTACTATTCTGAACTCCGTCTGACCCATAGCAACTCCTTATACAAGGTGTTTCATAGCAGCAAAGTTCTACAAAGGTCTCATTGAGGCCTGATTTCCAGTAATAGCCCTAAAAGGAATATTCCGGAAGATGGAACGATGTGGTCAACCTGGGATAATAAAGCTTTTAGGCTTATGAATCACTCTCTGCTTTCGGGCTCGACCGATTCAATTATATTGCGATTTTTCAAGTTTTTTTCTTGAATTAAGTGTGCATTTACTGCTGCGAAAGAATGCAAGAGGTACATGACAATTGTGCATAATTCGATTTAAGGCCGATTAACAGCAATCTGACCACAGGAAATCGTAATTGGGTAGTATAGACTTTGTAATTTAATTGATCATTATCCCGTTTTGATCGGCCGTTCTGTGCTTTCTGGTAGTACACTTGTCAGTTCATTGGTTTTTATAATCGCGTTCGACCGTTGCTCGATGCAGAAAAAAAGCTGAATTACAACCACAGTCACTCACTTATTATTGACTGCAGTCGAAAATCCGTTTCTTGGGCGCACCAAACCAATAAACGTGATTGATGCCAGTCGAAAGGCAGCAAATTCAAAGAAAATAAATAGGAGAGTCTGATTCCAATGAAAAGTCACCTAAAACGGGCACTATCAAATGACAAATGTAATAAAGGAGCCTCGCTCGCCATTAGAATAAAACTCCGGCAAATCCGCATGTAATTGTCATTTTGGGAGAGGGTTGAGAGATTCAGGCGTGGAGTAATATCATCCCTCGCCTTTATTCCAGGCACACATTTTCCAACATCGTGAACACGAATAACGGACGCCATATCTGATTTAAATCGGTATGTGGGTTTTAATTGATTTTCCTTTCAAGTTTTCCGGAGTCATTGTTTCAAGTTTTGTATATGGACGACACTTATAATTAATACCTCACCCGCAATTTCGCTCTGGCCTTTGTCAAATGAACTGGATTTTACAAAATTGGTATATTTTCATCAAACCTAATTAATTACCGGCAGTTCTGACTGATCAAAGTATTACTAGACACACACCGTTGGTAATTAGAAATTGAAGTCAAACAGACACACTGTCCCGACCCATCCATCTACCGGTTTGGTTCGGGGCCATTACTCGAAAATAAATAATATGCCCTATTAGGCCCGGCAGGGAACGCGGCAAAGAAAAATCAACAACGGGAAAAACTAAAGAAACATTCTGGAACAGGGAACAGAGGAAAATTAGGTTCGGTGAGCGGCGGACGAACGCAGCAGCGCTCGTTTTCGCGTATTAGGGAAACACTTTTCGCCGCCCTTTGAAGAACAGGCGGTCCTATGTAAATGAACGTCATAATTAGGATAATGCAGCCACTTGCGGATACCTGTTTTCTCAAGATTGGTCCAATTTAGCAAAAGATCTTTTTGATCCTCCGGCTCGTTTTCAAATTGTCCTTATTTCGGTATTCGTCGTGCAAGGATAAACCGTTGAATATCTATCTGTAGCATATTAATATAGAGGTGTACTTTTCACCCCGTTTAGAGAGCTTCTAGACACAAGAAGTCTAGGAGAAATTATTTATTTATTTATTCATATAAAAATAATCTTTATTTCTTTCGAAAAACGCTTTCGACTAAAATGGTCTTTCTGTTCTTGCGTTTACATGTATGTGGTTTGTTAGCTAAAAAAGTTTATAAATAAAAGATAAAATTAAACTATATATTATACTCCAATATATACTATATACAGGGTTATTCACGCTATACGGTACGGACGTTTGCTGCTAAACCGTTTGATTTTTAAAAAGTATTATTTTATGAATTGTCCGACGCCTACCGAGCGCACGTTTTAAAAATATTTTTGTAATGTACAGGGTATCCCAAAGGCTCTAAAGGTATCAAAGTTGCGTTTTTTTAAATGGAACGTCCTGTATATTATTGCATTTTTGGATTCGCTGAACAAAATAAGTGTCTCTTTTAATAAGGTTATACCTAACTCTTAAGGTTTTTTAAATAATACGAATTTAAACAAAATCTAATCTAATTTTCACGTATCAAATACTTTAGAAGTATTTAAGTTATGTAAGCGTAATTTATAGTGGAGTGTAACAAGATATACTATTTTATATCCCAATGATAATAAACTTACCATGTTATACAGGGTGTCCACAAATTTAAACTAATCAAATAAGAACTTTAAGTGGCTCTAACTTGATTAAATTAAATACAACCCCATATTTTTTAACTTACCAGAAAATGCAATTTTTAATTACCTATCGAATGGTATTAGGATGTTAATAGCTAAGATTTTGCCCTTTTACAAAATACGTCAAATAGTCGTTCTGTGCACCATTTGGTGTTGTTTAATTTAAGGTTCCAATGTATCTAAGTGGCCTATGCCATTTACACATGTCAAATCATTTATTTTATTTGTCAGTTTAGACTGCAAAGTCTCTTTTTGATAGCTAGAGTGGTATTGTTTTTTGT